TGTGCCAAATAATATTTGGGGAATAGGATTAGGAATATGGGTAGAAATATTGAACCAAACACATTCATCCCAACGTGGGCCAATGGGATTACTTATCCCAATCATTTGGGATTATAGAGGGCCACGGGATTGGATCTCCTAAAAAAGCAAACAAACACGGGATTGGACTATTTAAAAAAAAAAAAAAAAAAAATTGTCCAATCCCAGCCCGTAATCCCACTCCCCAAACCCATGGGATGAATTTCTAGTGTGTTTAAGACTCAAGAATTAATATGCATGTTTCATTCATTTTAAATGAAATTGTTTAATACCTATATTATCCATAAATACAGAAAGAGTAGACACATGTTCCCAACCACTGTTTAGGGAAATGGAAAGTTACTACCATAAATTTCAGATTCTCATTCTTAAATTAACTATTAATGATTTTTGGATTTTGACACAGTATATGAAGCTTTATTACCAAATTACCCTTGAAAAATAAATTAATAAATTACTTTAACCCCTAAATTAGTATTATTAGGAAAATAATCATTTTACTTTCAAATTTATTTCAATAACACCCTCCTCTACAACAACCCAGCCACTGCCACCACCACCTAGCCATTACCGCCACTGTCACCACCGCCACCCAACCACTATCACCATCCAGCCAAATTAATAAAATTTCAATAGTTGTCACCAACCCTCAAAACAAAAACAATATATCTGCTGCATTTCTTTTTCTTTTTCCTTTATAGATTTTTTTTCTTTCAATATTAAATATTCTCGTCTGCGTTTCGCCTATTCCTCCTCATCAACTCACCACAACCTGAAACGGTTCCTTCCCTCATCCTTGATACCACTCAAACTCTCTCCAGTTGGGGTTTGAGCCAAGAAACCTTACAACATACGAGGGCATCAAATGGGGAGAAAATATGTCTTGCCTGTTTCACCACTTGCTTCAACATCTTGTAAACCAAAGCAAATCTCCATCAATTTGTACGGATCATTTAATACTTGACAACCTGAACAATTGATTGAACTTGCTCATATGGATCCAAATCAACACAAAATCCCAACCCATTTGGCTTATTGCACTAGAGCGGTGTCTTTCAGATTTTGGTGGTTGGTGTTGTCGCGACTTCGTTAGGTATTGTTGCTCGTTGTTTCGCATCGTTGCCTACAATCGGTTGTTTCAATTTGATGTCGTACCCTCGTCTTCTCTTTGCGTCGCCTGCTGCTCACCGGATGCCCATCTGATTGCTCCCTGACGCCAGGAGAGTTCTCTCGCAGGAGGATTAAAGATGAGAGTGATGTGGACAATAACCGCGTTAATCGTGGCTTTCGATTTGGCCAGATCAGGTTAGGGAGGGAGAGAGAAATGGGAGGTTGTGGCTGAGGAAGTGAGAGAGAGGCGACACAAGAGAAGAAGTGGTTTTAGAGAGAGGGTTTTTGTGATAGAAATTTGAGACGTGAGGGTTATTTTGAAATTTTTACTTCTATTTCAGTTTTAATGCAGTTCAAATGGCCGCTTTATTCTTTACCGTTACACTAAACGATTTTTGTTAATTTAAATGTAAGAATTTGGAATTTATGAAACTAGGTTAGGAACTTACCATTTCACTAAACGTTGGGTGGGAACACGTCATTTACTCATAAAGAAATAATTACAACTTCTCCTATGACATTATTAAATTACAATTTCTCTCTTATGTTTAATTTCACCGCTCTATTGGAGTTTTCTTAGTCTAGTAAACATATTTTTGGGTTAATTTATTAAATTTAACAGTAAAACTTTAACAATAGAGGATAATTTGTTATTTTTTATACCTAAAGAAGGAATTTTTTTCATGATATAGATACCTTGGTTCTAATCCAAAGTTCCAAACAAAAAAAAAAAAAAAAAAAAAAATCAAATCAAATATAATTTCATAATAAGAGTAATCTTAGAGAACATGTAAAATTATCAACCCTTGATCATAAAACCTTCTTTTTTCCATTTTCTTTTTTCTTTTTTCTTTTTTTTGAAAAAAGAAAGAAAATTGGCTTGAAATTACGTTCAAGTTTAAACAATGTTGTGAAATAGAGTATCAGCAACGGATATGTTGGTTTTTATTTCTATTGTTTACAAGTTGGGCCCTCATAGAACAGACTACAGAGGTGCCCATTTATTTTTGGGCTTTACACGAAGTATGTGTTTTTGAATGATTTTCAAGGCGACAATGGCCTTGATGGCTTTTATCTTATCTTGATCAATTTTGTGATTAGTATTATTATTTATTTATTTATTTTTTGATAAACTAACATTATTTTAATAAATAAACGACATGTTCCCACCCAAGGTTTAGCAAAATGGCAATTTCTCATCTTGGTTTCATTTATTCCAAATTTCCACCCTTAATTAAATATTGTCAATGATTGTTCAACAAAGGGTGGGAATATGGAAAACTGACTTGGGCTTTTTATCAAGCAGGTGGTAGGTGCGAATTTGGGCTTTGATTTCCAACGAACAGGAAGTTAGAAATGGCCAAAAAACATACTCACACAAACTACAACACAAGGAGAGTGTGTTGGTGTAGTTCGATGATGCCAGTTGCTCTCCAATTGAACAAAAAACGACCGAGAATATACCCAAAATCGCAAGGTGGCAAGCGTGGGAGTGATCTGAAAAGCGAGTGATGACGGCAAGTAGGGGTATGGGTTTTGGAGAGGAGGTCATGGGGTGTCTAATGGTGGTCTCGAAAATTATTTTGGAGTTCGGGATCAGTAAAAGAATGCCAAAAACCGGTTGCTTAGGAGATGCTAACGTGAGCCGCTTCTTGATAACATGAGCACACTTTTAGTTAAAGAAGCATCAGTGAAAAGTTAAAATTGAGGAAACAATGTTAATTTAATGGTGAGAATCTGAAATTTATAAAACCAGAGGTGGAAACTTGCCATTTCACTAAACCTTGGGTGGGAACATGGAGTTTACTCAATTTTAATTCATCGAAAATAAGAAATGCATGCAAGCTTATAGATATGTTTCTCAACTCAAATGTGTAAGACACCACCCTAATTTACAGAAGCAAAAGATAAACAAAATTCAATGGATACTATAAGATTTATTAAAAAAATAATAATAATAAAAAAATATTGTAAGGTTAAGGAATGATCTGAGAAATTTAAATTCAGACTAGGGTTGGTGAACAATTTCATGGCAAAGACTCGTACATTTATTTAAGGAGAATGGGGCCAACTTAAAAACTAAGGCTCAGTTTGGTTCATATATTGCGAAAACTTTTCTAGTTTTCCCAAAAAAGTTAACTTTATTTCACCTATTTTCAAAATAGTTTTTTAAATTATTCAATTCCCTTTAATTCTCATAAATTTATTAATTTAACTAAACAACCCCCAATTTTTTTTTTTTAAAAATTGACAAAAACACCCCAACAACCCAAATTTACCAGATTCCGGCCACCACTGTCGAAATTTGGTGTAATGGCGCACTACTGGCTGAATCTTACCGATAGTGCGCCGATCTAGCCTTTTCGTGGATCTGGCTGGAAAAAGCCAGAGGGCCAGATCTTTGCCCGTAGATAGTTGTCAACGACGGCCAAGTTATGGTCGTCATTAACCATCAACGACAGCTGTATCTTTGGCCGTCGTTGATGACCAAATGCGGCCAGAATGGCCAAATCTAGCCATCAATGGCTAGATCAAGCCGCAGATCTGTGGATCTGGTCGGAAAAGACCATATCGGCATACGACTGGCAATATCGAGCGGGTCATACGCTGATACGGTAACTCCGGCCACCCTCCGGTGGTGGTGGCCGTCTGTTCTTATTTATGAGTGGATTGGGGGTATTTTGTTAATTTTGAATATTATATTTAGGGTTGTTTAGTAAATAAATAAATATATGTGGTATTTATGTTAATTTTTAAAATTCTACATTGTAATATCCACCCAATTTAACTTTTTTTAAAATGTTATTCTCAAAACTACCCAATAGTGAACCAAACGGAGTCTAAGCAGCTCCGTGAAAGTGGCAATAATTGTAAAACAACTGCAAGACAGAGGAATTGACTTTGAAAAGTCAAAGTCGTCGAACTAAAAGTGAGCTTGGTTGTGATTGTTCCTCACCCACATCCACATTTTATTTATAATATAATGTGACTCTTGCATAATCCATGGAGACTTTCGTCGTAAATAGAAGGAGGGTATTGTTTAATTTATATCATTTTCGTTGAGATTTTTAATGAGAATATGAGAGTGGTTGTGATTGTTCCTCACTCACATCCACATTTTATTTATAATATAATGTGACTCTTGATAGTTGGCATAATCCATGGAGACTTTCGTGGTAAATAGAAGGAGGGTATTGTTTAATTTATATCATTTTCGCTGAGATTTTTAACGAGAATATGAAAGTGGGTGAGTGCATTTTCAGCTAGTCAACCTCTTAATCTTTCTTTTTCTTTAATTATTTTCTTAGCTAGTCTTAATTAATGTAATAATTAATTTTTTTTGTAATTGTATGATTTAGTCAAAATTAGTTTAATAACAAAGGCTTTCTAAGTTACAAAAACAAACTAATTAATTTGATAGACATTTTAGTAATTTTATCAAATAAAAAATTAAAAGTTAAAATAATTAGAAATTTCAATATATTACGAAGACCGGAGACAATTGAATCTACAAACTCTTAGAACACTTGTATATTACAAACTTATATAATATAAAATAAATAAAAGAGTAAATATATAATCAATAAATATTTTAAAAATTATAAAGATAAATGATTAAAAAAATAACATTTACATAAACATGTATATATACAATAATACTTATATGTATACTACTACCTAATATTTCTTATACATCCAACGAGACCGACCGGAGGTTTCACTCTTTCACACATTAGTTACAATGAACTTTGTTTGACGTTGATTGAAGTAATATAAAAATGGGCATGAACAACTATATAAAAACATGATCATATGATATGAATAATCACCTTTACTTTAATTAATCAAACAAAATTTGGTACAACGTAACATCTCCTTTGCAATATCAAATATCAGTAGTTTCACCTCTCCTGCAGTGCTCACCAGCATTTTTTTTCGAATTCTAAAGAATCACACATGGAAAGACACTTGAATTCCGGCAGGAACCGCAACCATGAAACTCGCCGCACCGTCAATCACCAAGCTAGGACAGCTGCAGAGGCCGAAGTGGAAGATTGGGTGAGACAAGTTCTAAGAAAAACCGAAAAAACGCTAACATTGTTGCGGGAGGCGGCTGGTGACAGCGCTTGCTGCATCTTTAGAGTCCCTCAAAGCTGGTGGAGATCAACGAGAAGGCTTACCAACCCCGCATAGTGTCTATCGGTCCTTACCATAACGGCTTGGAGCATCTCAAGATAATTGAAGAGCACAAATGGCGATTTCCCAGCTCACTTCTTGAGCGGAAAGAAGATTATGATAATATCCTCCAAAATTGTTTCCTGATTATAGCCTCTTTGGAGCCGGAAATAAGAGCGTGTTATTCAGAGACCAACAGGTTTAAGAGCCATGAATTCGTTGAGATGATGGTGCTTGACGGGTGTTTCATCATCGAGCTCGTGTGTAAGGTTACAGGGTTGATACGTAGAGAACCTGATGATCCCATCTTCAAGATGGATTGGATTCTTCCTTTTCTTATGCGTGATCTTATCAAGTTAGAAAACCAAATTCCATTTTTTGTTCTTCAAAATTTGTTTGACATTTTAGAACCGAATCCAACAACCTCCTTAGTTAGTCGGACCCTACGATTCTTCAGTGATCATGTGCTCGAAAGGCCTGAATCCGTCCTATCGAAAGCTGACAATCTTCAAGCAAAACATATACTCGATTTAGTTCGCTTGAGTTTTCGCCCTTCATCCCCCAAAAGACCAGTAAGTCCGAGTAAGAAGAATTTTCTTCTGTACTTTCAGCCTGCTGAGAAGCTTCACCATGCTGGAATTCAGTTCACGACAACGAAGAACAAAGATAGCTTCTTAGATATCAAATTTGCTAATGGAGTCCTCAGAATTCCACCTTTACCTATGGATGATATCGTCAGCTCTTTCTTCCTCAATTGTGTTGCTTTTGAACAATGTTATGGCCATTGCGAGAAGTTCATCACCGATTATGCTAGGTTTATGGGTTGTCTCATTCACACCTTGAGCGATGCAGGGTTCCTTTGTGACCACAAAATCATTGAAAATTGTTTTGGAACGGACGGCGAAGTTGCTCGATTCTTTACCGATGTAGGAAAGGATGTGGTGTTCGATATCGAGAGGTCGTATCTGGCTAAATCGATTGAGGAAGTGAATGAGTATTATTGGAACGATTGGCATGTTCGATGGGCGAGCTTTAAGAACAAGTATTTTGACACCCCGTGGTCGTTCATCTCAGCCTCTGCAGCGGCTGTTCTCCTAATACTCACCATGATTCAGACCTTCTTTGCTTGGTACTCGTATGCTTATCCTCGAAAAAATAACTAAGTATTGTGACCACTTATGTCGTTCAAGACTTGAACCGATCCAGGGATGTTGAGATATTTGTTTTATTATCAGCAGAGCTGTATGAATGTATGAAAGGTGTAATGATTAGAAGTTTACTGTTCAGTAACTTTACTCGGATTAGGGATATATTCTGTCTGTGATTGTGACCATTTAATTTTACTTGAGTCGTGTGTTTATAAGTTGACTAATCATATGAGCTTATTTGTTTGTTTGTATGAAACTCAAGTTGATCACTTTTTTATATTCCTCTCTCCAAGGCTGCAAAAGTATGGATAAAAAACTGATTTGAGGTTGTTATTTGATGCACCTGAACGAGAAGATAATGGAACTCTGTAACAGTGAGAGGCATTTTTATCCCTACGGCAGCATACCAATAGAAAAGAGAGCATGGTGTAAATGATAGTTGGCAGCATACATGAATGCTCTGCTGACATGTTATTAAGTTTCGTTCAGTAGAATACAGTAGCTCTTCAAAACTCAATATTGGTTGGAAGATGACAACAAAGAAAAGAAAATGATCGATGTCTAAATATTTTTCAATTAATGAAATAATTGAATTACTTTATAGCACCAACCAATCAAAAGGATAAATACTGATAGCTTCTTCTGCGGACAGCCACTTAAAACCTTCTGTTGTATGTGATTTTGCTATAAGATCTCGCAGAGAACAGTTCGACCCAAAATTCGTTCGATTTAGAGTAAGCTCAACTCAAGTGAAGCTCGTCACAATGATCAATCCAAATAGTTGTTCAACAAAATCAAATATAAACTCCAATCTCGGATATTTCGAAAGAGATAAGATCAACATCAATGACAGTGCAATCTCAGCACGCGATCTTGAAGATCATGGGATTGCAAATCAACTCTGATTGCAATCCCGAACTTATCTCGCTCAATTAATTACCAACTCGTATAAAAACTCCCTCAAACGATGAGAAAGGAGTTAGCAAATTATTCTAGGCAAATTTATATTTCATTGATTATATTGTTCTTGTAAACCCTAAAAAACAATAAGATAACAGTGGACGTAGGCTCAAGATCTAACTAGTCAAACCACTTTAAAAATCTTTTCGTGTTCTTTAGAGTATTGCATTATTTACATTCAATCGCTGGTTGATCTTAAATCACGCACACATTAGTTCTGATTCCATGAAGGTCACTCAGTTCTCTAAGGTTGGGGTGATTTTTGTATCAACACCTTAATTTATTGGAATATACTGTCTATGCTACTTGACTTGACGGCAGATTTATGTAAACAGTAGATGGAGTCAAGCACTAAATACATTGATATATCATGAAATGAATGTATGTTTGGTTTGGCTGAGAGGTCCAAGTAGAAGACGACTATTGACTATTGTGCATCGACATGTTTTCGCTTAGCACAAGGTTTTGGATCCCTAGTAAAGCTTGTTGCTTCTCTCTTAATTAATAACCAAGAAAATGATAGTTGACGATGGTCCTATGTTTCTTTCCATGCATGCAACATGGTTATTTAATGGCACAAGGCTCTTATTTGATATGAAACTAGCCTATTGTAACACAAAATGTCAAGAGTTTTATACATTTTCAACTATACTGTAAGGTGGATTTTACCTTCAGTTAAAAGCGGCATTAATTGGTGTGTCTAATGGTCAAAGGTAGCGCAAGTGGCAATAATTGTTTAGCAATAAGCCACCAACTAAATGACTTTGACAAGTCTGAGCCGTCGGGGAGGAGACTCGGAGTCAAGTCGCACGTTGCTGTATTTTGAGCCACTATTTTGAGCCACTCATCAGCCTCCTAATCTGTTGGCTGTGTTGACCCCGTTGGTAATGTGGTATTTAATTTCATTTTTCTAATTAATTATTTTGTATTATTAACTAATTTGTTACAACACTTCTTAATTCTCTATCTCAAATTTGATGTTTTTATATTATTTTTGTTGGGATTGGTTAAACCACTTTGGTTTTGGATTACCCATTTTAAAATATAGCGGAATATTTACCAAGTAGATTAAGACATTTCTAGTTTTTAGCCACATCAAACACAAGTGTAGAAAGTAAAGAACACAACCATATACATGGTTCGGCTAAATCCACTTTTAGCCTACATCTATTGGACCTTATCCAGATCGAAGCAATCCACTAAGTTAAAAACACATTACAAGATATAGTTCAAAGTTGATCTAAGTTATAGTAAAAAGAACTCCCTGTTCAACTTTACACTTAGCAACACACTCTGAATCCTTAACGTGTATCAACTCCTTGGAGCTTCCTCTCGTCGGGAACACACCTGAAAATAGCTTGTAAACCACCAAACTTCAAGCATCGACGCCACACACCAGTGTCAGCAAAGGAACCACGTTCTAGCAGTCATTAGATCTATGTTTGATATGGTAAGGTTTTGGCACAAAATGGATAATGAACCTTGAACCTTAAGAGAAAGAATACTCTAAGAAATTCAGAGTAAAATGAAATAAGAGATTAAAAAGTTAGATACATTTATGCAAGAAAGAATATTATATAATGAAGGATTTCTTGCTCAACAAAACAGTGCCACGTCAGCCAACAAGGAACTGACCCATGTGTGTCCAAATAAGGAAAGTATTCCTTCTTTTGGTTTGGACCACAAAAAAAATTGGAAAAGATAACTTTATTCCCTAGGACCACTTAAGGAAAATATGACACATGTAAAAAGGTCCTAAATATCAAGAGACAAAGATAAACATAATCTTTTTCTTTTTATCAGACATGCAACTCATGTCGAGTTGCAAAAAGTCTGAAGCGAGAGTGTAAGCATAGACCATTGTGTACACACACTCGAGACGAAACAAGCCAAGACATATGTCTGGCCAACTGTGTGCATTAAGAATTGATGTACACACACACACAACAGATGAGACAAGCCAAATAAAAGGATTGGTAGCAAGTGTGCACACACAACTGTTGTGCACACACACAAAATTCATAAGTTTGACAAAAATAATTTTTTTTCCTCTCTCATGTGTTTTGTTAAGTAACTCTAGGTGGTCGTGTAGTTTAATAGAAACTCATGGTTGTATTACTCAAGAGGTTCTAAGTTTGAGTCCCTCATCAATTTCTAATAGGGGTAGCCACTGGAACTCTTACCTGGCTGATAGTTTCCGGGTCTCGGAAGATTAGTTGAGATGTGTGTTAGCTGGCTCGAACACCCCTAGTCACAAAAAAAAAAAAAAAAAAAAACACCCTGAATTCAATTAAAAATTCTTATTTCTTACAAATGGTATTGTTGTGTGTGATTTTTCCATCAAGCTCAAAGAGTTGCTTGGTGATAGCTTGATCCAGAATTAGTCCGACTCAATTGATTATCCGACCCAATATAAGCTCGTTGAGTTGTAGCTCGTTGAGTTGTAGCTCGACCTAGCACAAGCTAGTCACGACCAATCCTTACGGTTGTTCAACCAGCTCACAGATAACTCTAGATCCCTAATATCTCGAAAGGGATCAGATCGACAGCAATCTTGGCACAATCTCAGTGCTCAATCATGAGAATATCGAAGTTGCATTTCAAACTATTTTCGCTCTTTCCTTTGTACAAAATTTATATATAAACCCCCTCCAACGATGAGAAAGGGGTTAGAAAACATTTCTAGGATTATCATTGTAAGCTCTCACAGCAAACACAAAAACAGTGGACGTAGGCTCAAGAGTTTAACTCGCCAAACCACTTTAAAAATCTCTTTCTCATTTACTTTACTGCATTTTATCATTTACTCACCGCTGGTTACCTGTAATCACGCACACATCAGTTCCGATCCTGTCAAGGTTGATCGGATCACTTTACTAGGTGCAAGATCTTGTATCAAAATTTTGGCGCTAGAAGGAGGGCCTCTGCCAAAATCCAAGAAATTCTGACAAGCAATCCCAGTGACCCGATCACTTCAGGCTCACAATGGTGCATACAAGATCGAAAACCATGACAATATGGAGACCACCCACCAGGAGGTGCAACAAGACGCCACTGGGTGTCAACCACCAGTGCCGCTAACTCAACGAGGCGTTGGATTTACTCGGCTATATCCCCAACGTCAGCATGTCAGCTTTAACCCACACCCTAGGCAAGCTCGATTTTCGCAAGCTTGTGAGACGAGTCATGTGTGCCAATCTGACCATGATCGATGTTCGGGTTATAACCAACATCGTGAGCAACGCACCAACAAGCATGATAGCACCTACCAGCCTAGCAATCATGACTCAACTTCACGTATCAATGCGCATAATAGAATGGGCTCACAAGAAATAGATTTAAGAACTCACTTGCTCTAGGTAAGGCTGAATAGAGCCAGCCAGGGGAATCACAACAAACACTTAGATCAGGTGCAAAAAATGCTCGACGATCTAAGAGCCCGCCAGAACAATGTGGCGGAAGAAGCAGTAAGCTCTCCCTTCATAGAGGAAGTTTGCCAGACCCCGCTTCCCTAGGGATTCAGGGCGCTAGAAAGTAAGTTCAATGAGAAAGGAGATCCCAGAGCCCACCTCGACACTTTCAATGACTTGATGGAGTTGCACTAGGTCTGTGACTTGGTAAAGTGTCGCTGCTTCGTGGTCACATTAGTAGGGGATGCCAAGAGGTGGTACAAAAGATTCAAGGCGAACTCTATCAGTTCTTGGCAACATTTTTGCTCGCTTTACTTGCAGCAATTCCAAGTGAGGAGACAATTCGCAATACTGCTCAGTTACTTGAGCAACATTCGTCAAGAAAGAGACGAAACACAGACCTCGTATTTAACAAGGTTCCAAAACGAGCAAGCAAAGGTTGCGGATGCACCAGATGAGTCAATTCAGACTTTGTTAATTGTAGGCATCAAGCCACAAATGGAGTTATGGAAAGAGCTCCAAAGTGAAGATCACATAAGCCTGGCAAAGTTTTACCAGATGGTTGCAAAATACTAGCGGGTAGAAAGCTCGCTAGCAGCCCTAGTTAGAAGCTCGTTGTGAAGAGCCTTGGACAAGCGACAAGATTGCCCATCAAACAAGCAGAGGGGCTAAGACCGTAATAATAGGGACTGGAACAAGTCTAAAAAAAGATAGAGAATAGATAACCGCAGGGACAGGTAACCTTTCCCACAATATGCAGAATACACCCCTCTCACGCAAGAC